TTACCCCTCACACATCAGATAGAGCACTAATCTCTAGGGTATATAAAGAAATCAAAAAGCTAAGCACCAAAAAAAAAAAAAACAAACAAATAACCCAATCAACAAATGGGTCATGGAACTGAACAGACACTTCTCAGATGAGGATCTACAATCAATCAACAAATATATGAAAAAATGTTCATAATCACTAGCAATTAGAGAAATACAAATCGAAAGTAMTCTAAGATAATTTCGTTAATTAGAAAAAAAGAACAGAAGTTCAGTGAATTAGACAAAGAGAAATGAAGGAAAGGGAAGTGGAATAGGAATAGGACAGTGGAATGAATCTGACATAACTTTTCTATGTTCATATATGAATACACCACAGAGAATATACCGTCATGTACATCCATAAGACTGTGGTCCTAATTAGAAAAAGATATACTCCATGCTTGTATAATTATATCAAAATAGACTCTATTGTCATGTATAACTAAGAATAACCAATAAAAGTAAGAAATAAAAGGGAGTTATGGTATTATAGAACTTCAGAAGTCTTATAACCTGGTAATCCTCAAACACACTGATATCTCTGAATCACTTGGGGAATATCTAAAAAGTATTGATTTCTAAGCTTGCTTTCTGGATATTCTGACTCAGTAGGTCTTGATGAAGCCCAAGATCCTTTATTTTTTGAGAAGCCTTAAGATCCCTTTGAAACTTAGACATGGTTTTGGAACCTGGTCTAGCCCACTTATTTCTATAATTTGTGTAAAATTTATGTGCCAGTTGTAAGGCCCAGGGGCCTCAGACCTGGAACCCGGATGCAAAGTCTCCTAACTGTAGCTCACTGCCACGGTGGAAAGACATTCTCCAGACACACACATTACTCACTCCTCATCAGCCCCAGCCATCAGTATATCTTCTTTGTCAGTTTTAACATCCAATTCTGGTTCTCCACTAAGCAGCAGCTTCAAGTTATAAATAACCAGCAAAGTACCTAGTTAAAAAAAAAAAAAGGAGAAAAAGGAGATGTTTGACTTGCCAGTATTTTAAACATACTAAATGCTAGGTATTGTGCTACYATCTCATCCTTGCAATAATTAAATATGCTATAACCAAGCTTCCTTTTGCACTTCGATAAATAATATATTTGACTATATTCCAAAATTCATATCTTATAGCAAACTCTACTCTCTGCCAAAGAATGTTGAGTTGCTACAATATGGTGTTTCTTATTACTAATTCAATTCATTATAAGTCTTTCAAACTTTAGCACTCATCATAATTTGCATTATGAAAAGTGTTAGGAAGTTGAGCCAAGTTTGTATTATAAGCGAAGCTCTCATTGGTGAGCTTGAAATCAATGCATAAGAGAACAAAGGCGAGTTTTGTAATTTGTACAAAGTGTTGCTTTTAGACTCTATTGCTGGTATTGGCAAACTTTTTCTGCAAAGAGACAGACAGTAAATATTTTAGGCTTTACAGGCCATATGGTCTCTGTCACATCTACTCATAACTCCTACTCTGCCACTGTAGCATGAAAGCAGCCACAGAGAAGACATAACTGAATCAGTGTAGTTCTGTTCTATTTATTTAGAGAAACAGGTATGTCACCACCGTTTGCTGACCCCTGCTCTAAGTAACTTTTTATATCAAAGAAGTCCAAATCATTTATAAAGTTGGATCCCTGACAAACCGGGCTGTTGGAAAAATTTCAAAAGAAAGCTAATTATACTTTTTGTTGGTAGAAATAAAAATAGTGGCTAAGAATGTGGACTTTGAAGCTTAACTGCCTGTGTCTAAATACTGAGTCAACCATTTACTACTACAGTAATCTCAGGTAAATTTCTTATTATCTCTAATTTTTCGATACAATGGAGATCACGAGGGACCTACCACATATAGTTGTTCTGAGAATAAAATAACTTAATTTTTAGAAAGCACTTGGGAAAGTATTGAAAAAGAAACTCTTCATTAATGTTTGTATTTCACAATTGGAAGTGAATCACTGTTCTTAAAATATACTGTGTATATATTAATAAAAAGAATACCAACTTAATTGCCATTATTTTTCCGCTGAGACAAAGAGATTTAAAACATCATTTTTAAACAAAATGCCACAGAATGGAGGAGAAATTTTTGAGGTAAATCAAATCAAGTCTGAAATAATTTTAATAAAATTTCATCACAAAAAATACATAAATCGAAGAGTTTCACWGTTTTCCTTAAAGCAAGATATGAGAAATATGGGAATCTGGAGAAAGACTGGCACGGGAAGCATCAGCAAAGATGGTACATTCTACCTGTTGAGCAGAAAGTTGGAGGAGATGGAGAGAATGAGGGAAAATCTGAAAATCCTGTAAAAGAATATCAACAAAGCTCTTGCTAACTCTCAACCACAGAAGCATGGATTCATTATTTTATAAATTTGTAAGTCTTATCAGCCTTGTAACTCATAATCTCAGATGTTGTAATAAGCATCTTGGCTACATGGTGCAAATAACAAATAACTCTGCTGCATGGTACAAGGACTGGGTCATGGCCTGCATCATCCTCTTCTCCTTCAGTTTCACAAAGCTCTGCAAGCACAATGAACTTTCCTCTTTGTGCCAGGGATTTACAGCAACTCCTGTTTCAATTCTCTTAAGACAAAATTCATATGGCTAAAATGAATGGCTGCCCCCATGTGATAATTCACATGAGGTTATTAACATAAAAACATATGTAGAGTGACTTTCATAAAACACTAAAACAAAAACTTCCATCAAATTTCAGAATTCTGTTGATCTTACCACATTTTCCATAGATCACATCAAATTGCTGCATTAATTCAGCTTCATTTTTAAATGGGGAGTATTTATAAATTATAGACAATTCTGTTGAGAATTTTTGTGGATCATCTGTGACAGAGTCTCTGGTTCTTGTCAGCCACGAAGGCATTGGAACTACAACCTGTTTAAAAATAAACAAACACACACACATACACATTGATTTATTATTTTTTTAAGAGAGAGAGAGAATTTTTTAATATTTACTTTCCAGTTTTTGGTGGACACAACATCTTTATTATATTTTTTTAAATGTGGTGCTGAGGATCGAACCCAGCGCCCCGCGCATGCCAGGCGAGCGAGCTACCGCTTGAGCCACATCCCCAGCCCACATTGATTTATTATTAAATACACAAGATCCACCATCTTTTTGTCTTATCCTAGTTTATTCTACTCTTCAAACAAATCATAAAATACAAAGTTAAAAGTTTATTTTCCTCCCGTATTTTAGTTTTATAAAGAAAAGACAGATAACAAATTTGTATACTTGTGGAATGTGCCGACAGATGGAGGCCAACTCCATGCCCTTTTGAAAGATGGATGGAATGGCAGAGGAAACAATAGTATCAGCACTTTRGAAATGGAAAAGCAGATGACAGCATACCAAGAAATACAATCCACAGCCCTTGCCAGAAAAGAGAAGAGTCAACCTGATTTACAATTCAGATTGACAGCATGAAAGCCAGAAGCAGCATCTAGATCCCCATCTGGCAACAGCTCCTCCAAATCCCAGAGCCCCTGGATGCTCACTCTCTGAAGACTGGAACAATGTGTTTCTGGATGAGAAGACACAGAGTTGTTAGGGGAAGCCTATTGAGATTTAAGGGACTGAGTCAAAGTGTACATGCCGGATGTTGAAAATCTCAGCATCTTGTCTCTTCTGCCCCCAGAAGGCTGGCAGCTAGGCCTCCAGGCAGAAGACTGCAATAGTCTTCTCTTACAAATCASACCAGCTAGGAAGGAAAGACCTAAAGAAAATGACATCAAGAATCCCCCAATAAAATAACCTGTTTAGATCATATCACTGAAACTCCCACACCCTGCTCAATCAGCATTTTGTTGGACTACTTTTTTAAATGTTTAGGAATAACAGCCATCTAAGAAAAGCCTCTAATATGATAAACAGAAAYCAGGTCAACAAATAGAAACTAAGTAACTCAGTGGAAATAGAAACCRTAAGAGGAGGATGACAATTTTGATTTTTTAAAAAAATTATTAAAATCTTCAGTGCTATAAGAAAAATACTGTATCCACGAAATAAGAATCAGATATCCTTGGAAAAAGATCACTGAGAGAATTTTTAAAAAGACCTCTTAGAAATTAAAAATATAATTATAAAAGGAATTTATGAAAGAATTGGAAAATAAGTGTTGAAAAATCTCCCGGAAAACAAAACTATGAAAGACAGAAAATAGAAGAGAAAAATAAGAAAATCAAAGAACCACTTATAGAAGTCCAAGAGCTAAAAACAGTRGCAAAAGGAGAGTAAAGAGAATATGGATGAAAGAAAATCATCAGTGTTGCAGGGCACAGCGGCATACAACTATAATCGCAACTATTTGGGAGACTGAGGCAAAAGGATCACAAGTTCAAGTCCAGCCTGGGCAACTTAACAAGACCCTCCCTCAAATTAAAAATTTTAAATGTCTGGGGATGTAGTTTAGTGATAGAGCACTCCTGACCTCAGTCCTGAAAGAGGGAGGGAGGGGGAGGGAAATGGGTGAGAGAGAAAGATAAGAAAAGGAAGGAAGGGAGGGAAGGAAGGAGGAAGAGAAATTCATCAGTGTTACAGGAGGTTACCCCAGATTTACAAGGATATGATTTCCAGGTTGAAAAGATTCTGTATGTGCCCAGGACAATGGATATAAAAAGATCAGACAGGTAAAATTCTGAATTCAGAACATTGGGGACAAAGTTGCTTTTGACCTTCAAAAAGTAGAGATTAAGGAATAAAATTAAATGGCTTCAGTTTTCTCAGTAAATTTTGAAGGAACAGTGGTACACGCCTGTAATCCAGCGTCTCAAGAGGCTGATGCAGGAGGATCATGAGTTCAAAGCCAGTAACTTAGTGAGGCCCTAAGCAACTCAGTGAGAGTCTGTCTCAAAATAAAAAATAAAAATGAGCTGGCAATGTGGCTCAGTGGTTAAGCGCCCCAGGGTTCAATCACTGGTACTAAATGAAAAGGTATAAAGATAAAATCTTGAAGGAAAATGAATTTCAGCTCAAAGATGATAACAACCCAAACTATAACTGAGTGTTGGGGAAGAATAACAGCATTCTAAAGTGTGGTGGTCTAAGAAGATCTTGCTTCCCATCCCAAGATAAAATGGCAGACTATGTTACACAAGTTGTGAAAGAAGACATGAGATTTAGGATCTGGGATCTGACAGAGAAGAGATCTGACACCCAGGACCACTGCAAGGGCAGATCCTAGGATGCCTGCTGACCTCCAGCCATGGAGAGCGGGAGTGGGAGCTGCAGCACACGGCAGGGCTCTGAACAGAGGGCATCAGGAAGCTGGAGCTGAGGAGAGCAAGCTAGACTGGGGTTAACCATGCCGTGTAACAGAGAAGCAGGGCAGTTTTCAGCAACAGTGGTGAGTGTCCAGAAAAGAAAGCAGTCAGTCATTCTAGAGAAATAAAAAGTTGTGCACATGAGGAAAAACAAAACAGTTTATGACATGAGCTCCTGTGAATAGTGTATACACAGTCTGAAATGAACACACCGAGCACTGACATAACCAAAGTTAGGAGGGCGCTAGTGAGGTGGAGGGCTGGAAGTCCAGGGGCTACAGGAGCACAGAAGAGAAGGTAGATAGGTTTAAATCCCCTTCCACAGTAGGAGGTTAGTGGAGAACACCTAAATAAAATCAAGTGCAAGCATGCTCCTTAGAGACACGCAGGCAGATCTCAACGAAATCATTTAACACGGTTGGAAGAAGTTGCTTCTGTGGATGCGAAAGTGATGAGTGTTTTTAAGGGTTTTTTTTTTTACGAAAAATTGTGCTCTGTATGTGTAATAAGGATTGTAATGCATTCCACTGTTGTCATGTATTTTTTAAAAAAAATAATAAGATCAATTAAAAATGATAAATAAATAAATAAATAAATAAAAACGGAAATGCCTCATTTGGGGAGCTATGACCTCAGCGCTTTAGCCCAAACCCCAGGCTCTTCACAGGTACAGGATTCAACATAACCACTGACAGCACCTCTTTTCCTGATGTCAGGCTCCCTTAAGCCACTCCTTACAACTGACCCTCACCTGTGTTGTCAAGCCCCACCCCACCCTGAGGCAGGCTCAGACCTCTAGCTGGCTTTCAGTGCATCTCCTAGCCCAAGACTGGCTGTGGACYGTTTTTCTCCACACACCAGCCTTTCCAGCTTCGAGCCATGCTCTCTCTATAGAACACTCACTGGCCACTCAAAGCTCTCTCATCCTCCCTCTTTATTACAGTTTTGGACAATTTCATAACACACACACACACTTATTCAACAACGAACGTTCTTTTTATATAGCCTCGTTTTGTCATTTGTCCAATCACATGTCTACCTTATTTCCCAACAAGACTGAAAGCTTTTTGATGGTCACATGGTCTTCAGCTGGTTTTCTGCCCATCATAGTCTGTCTGTGCTGAGCACACAGCCACTCCCCAGCACCCATTTGTTGTACTGAATCATAACTGACATTAATAAAATGTTTCYGGGTCAGCAAATGCTGAGTTAAAAGTATGGTCACAAGAATTATGGTTTCAAGTCTATTTTGCAKTCAATTTTTTTTTACATTTTGTTTTCTAAGTCTTTGCCCCTAATATTTTATTTATTTTAAAAGCAATAATACATTTATGCCACAAGCAGTAGAAAGATTTTGCAAGCTTCTTCTAGAAATCTCCTTATATGCAAGGAAACCTCTATTTTGGGAGATCTGGACATAAGGAGAGTGAAAATAAAGTTCTTAAGAAAGACTTCCAGGGGCTAGAKATGCTGCTCAGAAGTACAGCACTTGCCTAGCAKGTGTGAGACTGTGTCCTGGAATCTCAGCAATGGCTTCCAGTGACCCCCTAAGAGTGCACGGGCACCTTCAGTCATAACAGACTTCACCTCCTGAGAGGATAAATGAAAACAGCATTATTGCCATGGGAATGGAAGAAAAATCCCCAAATCTTACCTCACTAAGACCTTCTCCTTCACAAAATGTCTGAGAGAAAAACACACAGGTCATCGTTTCTTCCTTCTTCGTAAAAAGAATAAAGTCTTTTCCAATTCTCATGGACCCACTGTATCAAAGATAAATAACATAATGATTTATATCTCAAACACTAAACAAAGAAGAAATAAGTGGGCATGGGTTTGTTCTTTTTAGCAATTGGTCTTACTGACCCATCACCAAGAAAGCACAAGTATTATTTCTCAAAGCAGAGACAATGAATTTGAATGGATGCAGCCCCAACTCGTGTTTGAGACATGGCTACTGGGATAATGTTCCATCCAAGGTTCAAAGATCAACCCAGAAGCAGGAACCACTCAGGTACGTACCATGTCCTCACCTCTCACTGAAGCAAACTAAGAAAAAGCTGACACACAACATATTGGCTAAAATGAATGTTGAGAAATAACAGAACATGAAACTCCAAAGTTACTGCTTCAGGAAGTGCCTGCAAGAAGACTCATCTTAATATATGTGAGAATTAGTTTTTTAAATGCTTTAAAGATCCTAGTCACTTATGGGTTGGAGATTCCAAAACAAGACTCCCTCCCAGGACTTATGCTCTTTTTTTWAAAAGCCCTACAGGTTTGCAACTTTCTGTGTTTCCAGTATGAATAACACATGCCCTAAGGGGGAAAATTCTCACCTTTTAAGACCATTGCCATATTGTCCAATGAACTTCAAGGTTGATAACCGTTTCTTGGATGTGCCAAAGTAAATGATGTCTGAAGCTTCCTCTGTAATTGACAAAAGACTATCTTTTAAGGTGCTTAGGAAGACACTTTGACACTAGCCTGAGGCCCAGTTGTCAGGACCCCACACATACCACAGGACTTTGGGACAAGTCCACAGCTCTTGGGCAGCCAAAGGYGAAGATTCATGTCAGGACCCATAATCTCTGAGAAGAATCTTTTTTTTTTTTTTTCAGTTTTCAAAGCCCAAGTTTAATTTGACAAAGCAAGTCCATTTCTAGATAGGAATCCCATGAAAATTCTCACACAGGTAAAGAGATGGATAGCTATATGAGATTGTTCACAGTCTTATTAGTCATAATAATAAAAACGTGAAAATAATCTTGAACATTTATCCTCAAATATCTATAGTGATTGAATTGAAGAATTTCCATGGATGCTATAGTGCTATGAAAATATCAGAATTACAATAACAATATACTGGAATGGAAAAAGTTTGGTTTGGTTTTCTGGGATTAATTTATGTTAATTTTATATAAGCCTCTTTTAAATTGATGTATCTACTGCAAATCGTGTACTTCAGGATCTTAAAGCAGTTATAATGAAGGAGGTCAGACAGACCATACCCTGTGACCTCACCAGGTAGGGGTAGAGTTTAAAACTCTGAGCCTTGATGTCCTTGTTTTTAAGAGAACTACTGGGGCTGGGGTTGTGGCTCAATGGTAGAATGCTTGCCTAGCATGTGTGAGATACTGGGTTCGATTCTTGGCACCACATACAAATAAATAAAATAAAGGTCCATCAATAGCTAAAAAGTATTTTTTAAAAAGCGATAGAAATGCTAGCACTTCTATCACAATTATTGATGAAGATGAAGAAAACACATTAAATAAGAAGACGTATCTGTGAAACTCTGGGCACACAACTTGGCACTTGATAAGCGTTAAGAGATTATAAGTGTTATAATTATTTGTACTACTAATAATTTCGTCATAAATTTGGTCCTTATCCAGGCCCAGGTGAGACTCAGGACAGAATGGCTTCTGCTTCGACACCACCTAGGTAGGGGAAAATGGCTAACCATCTCAGACCTCCAGAGTCATTCTCCTGATCTCTCCCAGAAGTTCCTAAGTTCTAGAGAGGAATCTTCTGGATTTCAGAATACTCTGATCTCTAGAACCAAGAATATTCTTGTTAGCCTACCTGGACACATGTTTTAGAATTGTCTTGAGGACCCTGTGTCAGGTACAGACATGTTTATAGTTCAGGGGCAACTGGTAGGTGGTGTGTGCTGGACGTTTGATCCTATGTTCTCATGCAGGGATGAGCCTTATGAGGAAGGGATCCATGATAACAATGTTAGCCACTGTTATTGATTGATTGATTGATTGATTGTTATTGATTGGTTGACATTCATTGCTCCTATTTAATATTTATAATAAATCTACAAGAAAGATATTATGATTTGCATTGTGTCATTGTAGGAGAAAGAAATGGAAATACATAGAAAATAAGATAATTTTTGAGAGGATTAAGTGAAAGTAAYAAAACCCGGAAAATGTGTTAAAGATTTAACAGGGGTATGGTCTTCAGGGGTAAGGCCACTTTCAGAAGGTTGACATCTGGGGAGAGATCCAAATGACAAGGGTCCAACCAGGAATGGCTGGAGTGTAATCAGAGCTTGGAAATGAGCAGAACTAGAAAAGGCCAGGAAGGTGGGCAGAGTCAAATAAGCAAGATCTCAGAAGTTAATCTGGAGAGTGTTACTGAATTTTATTCTTATGCAATGGAAAAATCACTGATTCAACAGGATAAAYATATAATATTTAAAGAAAGGTTGAGGGCTGAGGTTGTGGCTCAGCGGTAGAGCACTCACCTAGCATGTACAAGGCCCTGGGTTCAATTCTCAGCACCACATAAAAATAAATAAATAAAAAGGTATTAAAAAAAAAAAAAAAGAAAGGTTGATGTATAGGGAACAGACCATGATGGGAAACACTGGAGGAAAATAAGAAACCAAAATTTGAAAATTTGTGTAGTCATCTTCTATGGGTCAAGCTTTGTTTGAACAACTGGTAAGTTCTATATTCAGTCACCTAAGATAAACTCTTCCTTCAAACTTAATACCTGATTTCCAATATTCATTAAGAAGTGCTTTCTCAATAATACTGTGCTTGTCCTACTACATGCAGATGCTCCTCAATTTTCAATGAAGTTAAATCCATCCCTGCTAAATCCATAATAAATTGAAATATAGAAAGTATAAAATTCATTTAATACTCCTAACACTATCAATACCTCAGCTACACAGTACATGTTGGACTGTGCTACTTTCCCCTTACGATCATGAGGCTGACTTGGGGCTCTGGCTACCTACCATAGACCAGCATCACAAAAGAGTACTCTAGTACAACCTAACAGTTGTACTCTGCTAATCTAAGAAAAGACCCAAATTCAAAGTACAGTTCCTACTGAATGCATATCCCTGCAGTACCATGGTAAAGTCAAAAAATGGTCCTAAGACAGGGACCATCTGTATGTTTACTGAGATATGAGTTCCTTCTGAAGGTCTGAAAATTTGTTTGTGCTTTAATGATTTCTTCATGACCTATATTTTAAAACTGCTTCTTTTTGTAAGGCATTCCCTTAGACCGTATCACATATATTCTGTCATTTATTTTAAGAATTCGGGAAAACACACTTAGCATTCAGGCTAGTAGTGAAAAATAAGACATTTTCAGCATGGTTTTCTTACAGCCTCTTTACCTTCTCATATTTAAACACTGGGGAATCAATAATACTTTAATCAAAATGAACTGAGATAATCAAAATTATTCCAACAAAGTCAGAACAAGAACTGGGTGGGAGAGTTGAGCATTTTCTAAGCTTGCTAATAAATATTCTTTGACTATTCAGACCAAGGGGAGACTTCAGATTTGGAAGAAGGTAATTGCTCTACTTTGTATTCTCAGCTTATATCAGCATTGATTATCACCCTTTCCTCAGATGTGCAGCCGACCAGGACATTTCCATAATATATCTCAACTCTCTCAGCATTTTTTAAGCATAGTAGCCAAGACTGTAGCTTGTGATACACAAAGTATTATAAGAATTCAGGAATATGAATACTAAAACTATGCAAAGCTTTTATTAGAGGGAATAAGTTTCCAACAACACAGCATTTGAACACACCTACTATRTGCTGGCTTTGTGGTAGCTTTAAATATCTAAGGATAAGTSATGCAATATATTGTAGATGTCTTTGTTATGATGAGAAAATTTATCTGAAACAACTAAACTTTTGAACATTCAGAGGAAAAAAAATCCATGCAAACTACCAAAGACAAGGAGAAGTGACCTTTTCTTCAGGGTTACAGGGAAAATTTAAAATAGCCTAAAGGCACTGGAAACTGCCTTGGGGCTCTTGCARACAATAGCTAAAAGAATGGACTAAAACAATCTTAAAGCCCATTCAGATACTAGAGGTAAGATGCTTTGTCTTGCAATCAGTACCATTTGTCTTTCATTTTTCTGACAAAATTTATTTACTTTCACTTTTTTATCTTGATTTCGATGATTGTAATGAATTTACTCTGCCAGCTGGAATATTTAAACCTGAAAACTTTGACAATAAGTCTGGACTTTATTTTCCCTAATAGCTCCATACCTGTTTTTCAATAGAGAGCTCAATTTATTTTTATTTATTTTATGGGTTTTCAGGCTGTTCCCTTTAACAGCCAGTTAGGTATCTAGATAATTAACTTACCAGGGCTCATGCCACATCCATCATCCAGGAAGCATAACATGAATCCACCCTGCAGTTTTTCATTATCCACTGTAAGAGAAAGCAGTTATTACTAATAAATATTGGGCTTAATTTGTTCGTCAGAAAGTCATGCTGCTCGCATAATTATTCGTCCTTTTCAATTGCAGCCACAGAATGACAGAGTTATGGCACAATGACGAAGCTCAGAATGGAGTCCTGGCTACAGCTTCATAAGAAACTGCAGGGGAAGAACAACCATGCAACAAAGGCTTTACATTAACATAAAACATCTACATGTTAAGGAATTATGTGTGCAGCAGGACATGCCCTGCTCTGGAATTGGACCAATCCCTTCAACTTCAGGTATTTCTTCCTGAGGGGAAGGAAAAAGGGAGATGGCAATGTGACCCCAGGATCCCTCTGTCAAACTGATCGACCTTTATGCCCTTCCACCAAAGCACTGATTCTAAAATAAATCTAGGACATTCTTATTAAATTCATCAGGYTCCCTTCTAAGTAGTTAATTCCCACAAGAGTCTTTTGTGAGTGTTTCTTTGTGGCAGCAAATATTTGCCTCTTGAAAATGCATTTGGGTTTTTGAAAATGGCTAAGTTATCTGAAATCAGTTTTGATAATTAAAAGACACCATTAAATTACATAATATAATCTCTGGCTTTAAAAATGTTAAAGATGGAACTAAAACTAATGAGAATAATTTCAGTGCACAGTTTGTAAACTGACTCTGAAGATAATTTCAAACAGCTGGATATATGAGTTCAAGAACATTCCTTTTTTGATAACTATTATTAAGAAATAATTTTTGCCAATAAACTGCATATGTTTAAAGTACATAATTTGATAAATTTTGACAAATCAGTAACCCATCATCACAATCAAGGCAGTGAACATAGTCATCACCCCAAATGTTTCCTCCTCGCCCTCAGTACTYCCTCCGTTCTTCTGCTTTCATGGCCCCTCACTCTTGTCTCAGGCCCAGGCAATCCATAATCTGCTTTGTCTCCATGGAGTACTTTCTAATACATTTAAGCAAATCTTTCTGTTGAAAGGTTAACTAGAATTCATTCACTCACGTTTAAAAATTAAATAATGTTTAAAATAGCCTATGAATAAATATCTAAAAGACATATCTAAGTGTGTTAGCCCATTTTCTGTTGCTATCGCAAAATACTTGAGGCTGGATAATTTGTGAAGAAAAGAGGTTTATCTCACAATTCTGGAGGTTTGAGACCTCCATGGACTTCAGCTCTGGTGATGGGTTCATGGTAAATGGTGTCACATTGGCAAAAGGCATTTGGGAGCACATGCTAGAGTGATCACATGGAAAAACAGGAAGCCAGAGACCTAGGGGTCAGACTCAGTTTTATTTATATATATATATATATATATATATTACCTTTATTTTATTTATTTGCTTTTATGTGGTGCTGAGGATCAAACCCAGTGCCTCACACATGCTAGGCAAGCACTCTACCACTGAGCTACAACCMAAGCCCCTCAGTCTTTTATAACAACCCACTTATGTGAGAATTCACTTACTCTATGAGCCCAGCATTAATCCCTCCCAAGGGCAGTGGTTCGAAGGACCTAACTATCTCCCAGTAGACCCCACTTCTCTGATTTGACCACTTTCTCTATCCCCAGTACTCTGCTTGGTTTAGGAAGACATCATTTTTTTTTTCTGGATTATGAAAACTGTTCCCTAACTTCTATCCCTAAATCAAAGGGTGCAGCCTGTTTGCAGTCATCTGTGCATTTTGCCACTCTCCTGCCAACACCTTCTATGGCTTCCTGTTGCTCTCAAGATAAAACACAAACCACTTAGCAAATGCTTGCCCCTTATGATCTGGCCCTCTCACCTCTCCAGGCCCATCTCCTGTCATTCCTGACCAGCCAATGCTGCCACCCTCCTCTTGCACACAAACACTTCCCTTGAACTAATCCTGAACATCGCAGGTTTTCACAGTTCTCCTAAGAGTCAAGGCGTCACAGGCACTGCCCCCATCTTTCCCATGCCTTCTCCATAGGTGGATGCCTACTGTCCCTGTGGACTGGTTCATAGAAGACTTCTCCTAGGAAGATTTCTTTTGTGCGCRCATGTGTGTGTGTGGTGCTAGGGATAGAACCCAGGGCTTTGCACATGCCAGGCAAGCACTCTGCCAACTGAGCTATATCYCCAGCCCCTAGAAAGGTTTCTTAACCTTGCAATGTCATTGTGTGCCCAGAATGAATGTTCTCTTCCTAACTTGTGTTTTCCCACTTTCATAGAAAGTTAAAATACCTACTCAGGTGTTTACTTCTCTTCCAKATCAATGGTTCCTTTAGTTTCGAGGATCACAGTTACCCCAGARATAGACAAAATCTATGCATCCTCCACCCATGTAGATATATAATACATTTTCCATGGACCCCCGTACAGGGATGTCAACTCCTTAAAAGTGAGCACTGTGTATACTCAGTACTTAGCTCAGTGCCTGGCACTTGGTGAGCACTGAAAAAAATCTATTCGATGCATATCCATCTTTACTAGAATTGATGTACAGAGGCATTTAAACACCACAGTGAAACATATTTAGTTTGAATTTTATAGACCTCAAATTACTTGAAGGAAACCAACTGGGGAGTAATTCAAGGCCTCGGTAAATCATTTGAAAATTAGTCCAATCTTAGATTAACTATGCATGCCCAGAACAATTCTATTTATGAGTATTAAGCACTGGCCCTCGCTTTTAAAAAATCAATTTTACTAGGTTGAAAGCGATATGAATGATGGTTTTCTGCAATAAAAAATGTTACAATATGAATAGGTAATTTCAAACTGAAAATGATAAATTCAGTTTTTCACAAAATCCGTATAACATAAAGAAAGAACGAGTACCACCTCCATTTTTAATCAGCCTAGATCCTATTTTGTTTGYATATGATAATACTGAGCACTCAGGAAAGTGCAGTGAAATCAGCACTCCCATCCCCTCCTGGAGTCCTGTCACACACCCAGAGTATAGCCTGTGCATTCTAATGAAATTTGTAGTACTTTGTGATTCTGGATGTCTTCCTGGCCCTTGCCAATACTACACATGCTCTGAATGAAGTGTCGCTTACATTCGTCTCTATTCTCAAATTTCCAGGACCYTTGCCCTAATTCAAATTTTCATGAAATCTTGCTTAATTTTCATAGCCACACTCCCTGTGATCCCTGCTTTCATATTCCCTCAGAATACTTTCTATGCTATTACTGGAGYATCTTTCTTTAAAAAGAGAAAAAGAGGACACATCTACTTAGGGTAACGACACTGTGCAGAATATTCAAGACACTCATCCAATTGTCTCTAACCCTTAGCTCTAGCCAAGGAGCCTAGTCACTCTTTCCTGAATGCTTTTTCTCCACTTATCTCCATGCCTCACTCCCACATCATGCAGGTCTTCAATGGTATTTCACCTATTAAGGGAACCACCCCCTGTGTAAAACTGTATAATCTTCCCATCACTCTCTATTGTCCAAATCTGCTCTTGTTATTTCCYTTTTAATACTTCTTATTGCTGGAATATGATTTATTTGTTCATTTCTTTATTGTCCATCTCTCCCCCAATAGAATGCCTGTTCCATGAGAGCACAGGACATTTTGTTTAATACTCTATCCCCAGCACCTACAATAACAGACACTCAAYAAATTGTCATTGAATAAATGAATAAATCCCTCAACTACTCTACCTCCATTCTTTTTCTCAAAATAATTCTTCAGACAAGAATATTTTTCTAGATTATTTGAGAAAAATCACCTCCATATTTCAAACTCTCGATCCATAATATGAACTTAATGTCTTCTTTCTGTTTCCACCATACTCTGATTCTTTCCCAGACAGGACATATTTATATTACGMTATACACAAAAGTTCCCTAACTTATGATGGTTTCTAACTTAAAACCTTTTTGACTCTATGATACAAACAAATTAGAAATTATACTTTAAACTTTAAATTTTTAACTTTTCCTGGGCTAGCAATGATCCTGGAATATTATCTCCCAATACTGGGTAGCAGCAGAAAGCCACGGTCTCCAGTCAGCCACACAATTTCAGGATTAAAACAAATCAATACTCTACAGAATCCTGTGTGGCTAAGCTTTGGTGTTCAGTAGCTTGGATGTATTAAATGCATTTTTAACTCACGGTATTTTCAACTTACAGTGGGTTTCCACTGGAAGTCAAGGAGCATCTGTAACTGAATATGAAAGGAAAGGCTAGTTTTCCCCCATGAAGGAGGCCCACTCTTTCTCTGACTCATTTTTCCCCTGTCAATATAGACTCCCTCCTTTTATTGGTCCCTGAGGGAAGAAGCCCTGGTGAGGCTCAATTCAAACCCCTTTTCCTCTTGGGAGAGAGCTGCCTACAGACAGCCTGAAGTCTGCTCCCTTCGTCCCAGAGTGGACCAGTCTGGGATGGAAGCTGATTCCACAGCTGTGAGCAGCCCCATCCTGGAACCTTCACTCTGTCATGAAAGCCAGACACTCCAACCTAACATCTATCAGCGATGGAGGATGATTCTTGCATTTATTTCTCAAACTTTTCAGGACTTGGAGAGTAGAAGAAGGAAAAGAGTGTCATTTATTGTTTCCTCAGATACCTCAAGGCATCCACATCTATCTCCTTCATGAACCATGGCACTCATCTGGCTCAGAATCCTAAATGTACAGAAAAGCAAACAGAACTGAGTTGCTTTTTCAGTGCCGACATGGATTAACATCATGGACAATATCCTCTCACTTGTGATCAATTACCAATATAACAGAGCAGCTGACAGAATCAGGGTAGAGAAGCGGTGTTAGCATTAGGGGCAATTTTCTGGGTGGCACTGAGTACATACAGTGCAGGATCGCAGAACCTACTGTCACTGGCATCATATTAAATGAGATTAACTAATAAGTGCAATAAAAACTTAGAACTACAAAATGAAGCCAATGAAGAAAACATTTGGTTTGAATTTTGCAGCACTAAAATATTCATACTGCACATTCACTTGTGCATTTTAAAACTATGATAAGTTGAAAATAATGTTTGCTTAATTATGAATAACCATTAAGTTAATCTGCTTTTTAAAAGAAAACTGTTTCTCACAGCAAACAAATCTACAGCTCCAAACCACTCTGGTTCTTTCACAAAACTCTGGAAGGCCTAATTTTGTAAATGGGTCTTCTAATAAAAGAACAATTTGACTCTTAGGGTGTACTTTTCCCGACCTGGCTCCCCATAGGGTTCCTGCGTTCACAAAGCACTTAGATTACATTAAAATCTATAGAATGTGACTCAATTCCATGAAATACAATACATGCAAAATAGCTACAAGCTTTTCCCTTAGAAAAAGAAGGAAAAAGAAGAAAGGAAGTCTACTCACCTGAAAACACATCAAGTCTTGCAGCCCCTGAATCTCTGAAAACAATATAAAAATATCACAGCTTCAACTGAAATTATGTTTAAAAAATTACATTAATCTAACTTGCTTATGTGAGGTATAACCTACTGTCAGATATCAAACAATACAAAAAGCCACTTAAATTGCTTCAAAATCAATTACTATAATGTTTCACTGTGCATTTATATACTAACAACTATCATCACTGATGATTTGAGAATATTACAAAAGCTAAAACTCAGAAATTTAAAAAAAGAGATGGAATCTAGTGGTAGTTACACAAAAAGCTCATTAGAATGAACATGAATTTTGTATTTTTAAAAAAAACTGGCCAAAGAATGATCCAGAAGTCATAGAATGGTTTTCATGATATGTTTCATAGGTATGAGATAAAGGAGGTATAGCTAATGAGGAAGAAAGTGTGGCAGGGAAGGATGGTAGATCCTTTTAGAAAGGGAAGCTCGGTAAGATAACGAGTGCAACTCTGATGGGGAAACTTGAGTCTTTCCCCAAATTTCCTTTAGTCCCAAGCTAAAACTATCCCAAACAAATTTGAGTAGTAACACTGTATTTGCCCTATGACCCTAGAAGTTAGTTCTTTATAAATCGTTCCTCTAGTCAGTTGATGCTTCTAAGTCCTCCTTACACAGAAGTTCTAGAGCTACCACTGCCATTTCTAGAGCATTTCACGTCTCAACTAAACATTAAATGAAGTCTTTTTGAAAATTCTCTTCTAATCCTTACCACAATCCCATGACATGCATGTATCAATATCTCTATTATGAAATTATGCTTTGTACAAAGTACCACATTGTATAGTATGTGCTCAGTAAATGCCAATATATGGAAAAGAAAGTTTATAAAGAAATAGTTTCTTTTTACAGTTGAGGCATAACATAAGGACTCACCTTTTTATCATATTAAGACACTTTATAATGTCCTTTGTGTTTCAGCCCTAGATACTTGCTTTTTGAATAGCTAAGGTATTAGRAGGAGGACCCTAATCATCCATTCCTATACCATCACATTTTTTCTCCTCTCTGCAATATTTTTAATATCTTTCAGTTATAATTTTCACAACTACAGGGTATCACCAAAATTTTGAATACAATAATATTTGAAAATTCTTAAAATAACACATAAGACCAACTGAGCATCTTGAATAAGTCTGCAAAATAATTTCATTTGCTGTCAAATACTAGCATCTAAGCAGTGGCAGAGAACTGAGGTATCCACAGAAGACRGAAAAACTGAGAGGTTCAAGCTGTTGGGGTAACACTGGTCCTGAGACATACCTGAAGGCATAGGCTGGTCCCACCAAAGCCCCAGCTCCTCCTCTAGCCCTGATCCTAGAGGAGTGTACTCTCAAGGATGCTTCTCCTTCTCATCTTTCAGGAAATATAGGGGACCCGATTTTGTATGTGGTGCCTCTTGTGTCTTAAACCTTACAATTACCTTTTCTCTTCCTTTTGTTTCTGAACACTGTGTAAACTTTCACYATGAGACAAACAAACATGAGACAAGCTAAACCTGGTCAAGGGGCTGCTAGTTTACAAATGCTGCTCCAAGAATTGCTTTATTGATCACATTTCTCTCCTTCCTTCAAGTCCAAAGTTAATCTTTCTTCTCCAGTCACCCAATCACCCCAACCATGTAAAGTGTTCCCATTGTTCTACTACGTGCTGATTTCCTGTGCCTTGTAGAATGAATGAATGAATGAATGAAACAATTCAGAGGAGAAAAGACAGATGGCGCTGTGGACAAATGTGCTCTTTGAGAACAAGTTGCTGAAAAGGAGCAYTGGGAAAGGTAGGAAAGCCTTGCTTCAGAAACAACAGCAGCCACTCTTATCTCCCACAAAGAAACTAACCATGAGTGTTCATCTGCCCGGGCCCTTTCCCTGTGAGCTCCTTCTAATTTGCTTGGGTTCAWGGCTCCCTGACCAATCAACTTTATGCTTTTTCTCCTTTTTCCTTCCCTTTTTGTGATTGCATTATCCCTACAGAGTGTTTCATAAAAGGAGGAACTAGTAATTTTTTACCTAGCAATGGGCACAGTGCTGGGTAGAAATTCGTGGATGGCTGGTTAACTGACCACACCCTGTCAGAAAGGGCATTTCCCTTTGAAAGCCAAAAATGGAGGACAAACACGAAAAGCTAACATATGCTATAAACCAACCAGTGGCAGAAATTTAAGTGCCCCTACTGGGATCTCTGATCTAACAATGGCACACTATTTTCTAGATAGACTTTGCTTTCTGCAGAGAAGGGACAAAAAAAAAAAAAAAAATCTGTGCAACAGTGAAGTACAAGTATAAAAACCATCAAAGGCCGTATTCAGTTTAGCTAGATAACTGAGTCCCTCCCAATTCTCCACACATCTATTATTGAGTGGAACTAAAATTATTAAAGAGGTTCTTTAAACCTCCATTCCTTTGTCAGAGACAGTGAAATAGGGTACTGGGGTTCTGTAGCCAAATGGTACAAATCTGAACTCTATCTCTGCCAAAGAGTAATTATAGAACTTTGAATAAATCATCTAACTTCTCTATGCACAGATTTCCACGTATGTAAAACTAGGGTAATGATTCCCCCCTCAGGGTGATGTCATAGGACGAATGAGGGAACACTGCGCATGTCACTCACATAGGTGGAGGAGAACAGTTAGCCGTTTTCTGACTAACCACACAATTCACCTCAAGGCAGACTTCAATAAAGGCTAAACCCAAATGTCATTTCTCAAGACAAAGTGTACACTGATCTGTAACTGAAGAAACATCCAAATGTCTACTATTACATGGCTATCAACACTAACGCAGTTTGCCTTCATTTCTAGTTTAATCATAAAGGCAAATTAAACAAAGGTGACTAATTCCTTCTTTCATCTGTTCTTTTTCCCATAGTATTTTGTTTATGCTGGAAATTGTTATGGTTGTTCATGTGAAGTGTCTCCCAAAAGCTCACGTGTGAGACAATGCAAGAAGGTTCAGAGGAGAAATGATTGGGTTGTGAGAGTCTTAATCCAATCRATGAATTAATCCCTTGATAGGGATTAACTGAGTGGTAACTGAAGGCAAGTGGGGTGTGGTTGGAGGAAATGGTTCMTTGGAGGCATGGCTATGGGGTATACATCTTGTATTTGGAGAGTGGAGTCTCTGTGCTTTCTGATCATCTTGTGAGCTGATTCCCTCTGACACAGTCTTCTGCCATGATATCCTTCCTCACCTTGAYGTATGAGTAGTAGAGCCTGCTGCTGTGGATTGACCTCTGAGATTTCGAGCCTCTAAATAAACCTTTACTCCTCTACTATGTTCTGGTGGGGTTCCTCAGTCACAGCAGCAGAAAAAAAAAAAAAAGCTGACTAAAACAGAAATCGAGCAAAACATTCTAAATGGGGGAAAATGACAGTATATCTTTATCTTCAAAGATAACTGGACTAGATTTATGTCATGGAATTCCAACAACAGCCTTTGTTCATAGGTAAACCTACCTGGCATTGTCCAGCAATTCAGCCAGAGCTCCAAAAAGGAAACTGTGGGTTGTGCTGATGAGAAGAGAGAAAGGGAAAACAGGAAGTTAAATCAGGGCAAACTTAAGACACTCAACACACAAATGTTCCCCAGTTCTAGACAACCAATGTTGAATTTTTTCCAGAAATAGTGTGCTTAGCGTGGCCAAGATTCTGAAGGACATACTATATCATAAAGCCAAGGTAAGATCTCATTTGCAAAGTATGTTGTTTACTTCTAATATAATGAAGACTATTGAGGATCTTACTGTTGCAGGAACAAACTTTCATGTTTTAAACTTTCTTTACAAGTACATATTCAAGTACTATTTCTAAAGAAGTTTCATTAAAATTGTATTACTTAATACCAAATAAATAATGAGCAATATTGATCAAGAGCTTAATCTACTAAAAAGCCACAGGGTTCCATTGGTTGGCTAAGAAATTGGCAGGAGGCTGCTGTTCACCCTACCAATCTCCATATCTCTGTAGAAGCTTTCCAGCTATGAAAAGCCTACTCTTTAAATGACCTTATGGATTACATGTAGTCCCTTGCTCCTGTACCCCTCAGTACCAGTTGCTTGGTGAAAGAACATGGTGAACAGCCTGCACTACTCATGACACTTGGAAGGCTAAAGGGATATCTGTGGGTGAATAGSTTGCTTTCAGCGGTTCCAAGTTTGCTTTTCCTTTTCTGATGTGGCTATTTCAATTAGCAACCTTATCATGGCATCAAGGGAAAATTCAAAATTCAATATTTGCACTTTCCTTTTTATGTTTAGTAAGCAGGTTGCAAAAGCAAGAAACCCATTTACCATTTGTATAAGAGAAAGCATCAACTTCAATGTCTAAATCTCCAGACACCTCAGGACGTAAGACAACACCTTAAATTAAAATTTATTTTAAAAATTACATTTCTCTCTCTCTCTCTCTCTCTCTCTCTCTCTCTCTCTCTCTCTCTCTCTGTGTGTGTGTGTGTGTGTGTGTGTGTACATGCATGTGTCTTCATTTGGGGGGATTTTAAACTTTAAACAGATACTAATGAAAGGTCTCTTGAGTATGGTCAGCTTTAAAGTTTATTAAAAAAATATCTAAAAATTACTAAATAATGCTTTTGTTTAAAAAAATGTTCTTCTCTCTCTCTCTCTCTCTCTCTCTCTCTCTCACACACACACACAAAGCTGGTATAAAAATCTTATACTCTATAAAAGAGAATATAAGTGACATGTTTTATAAAATCAGCACTTTAAGCCACAGCCCTTCTAGTGAATTTAAAATTTGTATACTGAATGACTCAGTACACAACAATTCGATATATACATATCCTTTGTGAAAGTCATTGTAATAACTAAGACCAAAAATGCCATATGAGTTTTTGTATTAGTTCATTCAAGAGTTTTTGTAACTACCCACCTTGTAACCATTTGTACAGGTAGGGTCTTTGCTACCTTGGAGATCAAGGTGGTGGGGTATGTAAAAAAAAACAAGTAAATGCACAATGATGACCTCACAGGTGGTGGTTAAATACTTTCTTCACAGCAATAATGGGACAGAGTAATTGCTGGGGGAGGGCAGGGTGCCCAGGGAAACCTCTCTTGATAGAAGACATTTAAACTGATCTTTGAAGGATGAGAACCTGGTCTCTTGCAGGGACAGAGTGAAAACCTTCCAGCAAGAACAGGAGATGCAAAGATGCAAGGCCCTGGTAGCACGTGCAAGGCCCTAGGTTCAATCCTCAGCACCACATAAAAATAAATAAATAAAATAAAGCTATTGCGTCCAACTACAAGTAAAAAATAAATTTAAAAAAAAAAAAGAAAGAAAAAGGTTGTGTGGAGGGTGGTCTAGAAGACATGGTGGTGGATTCCCCTAAGGTCAATGGCAGTGGAGTCAAAGAGAAATGGATGAATGTAAGACACATTTAGAGAAAGCATACCCTTGGTAGGCGGAATGCCCASTGAAGCAAAGCAGATATTTTAAAAATACTTCTCTTTTATACATGGAAGTCTCAAACCAACATTTATCTGAACAGCTGAGAAGATGTCAATTTGTACCTGATTTTTTGTTGCTTCATGCAGCTGTCTTTTTTAAAAGGTATTATTTTTAATATTAATATTCACCAATTGAAAAGGGGCTGGAGAGGCCCATGGTCTATACCTGCAATTCCAGCAACTCGGGAGGCTGAGGCAGAAGGATCACAAGTTGAAGGCCAGCCTAGGCAGTTTAGCAAGACCATGTCTCAAAGTTCAAAATATATATATAAAGGGCTGGAACATAGCTCAGTGGCAGGACTATGTTCCCTGTGTTCAATACCCAGTATCTCAAAAAAAGAAAAAAAAAGAGGAGGAGAGAGGCTGGAGAAGTGTGCATCACAGAGTGGTTCAGGGGAGAGGGAAGCTGGAAAGTAATAGCTGCAGAAATGATACAAAATGGAGACTGAGTAACTTTCCCAAAATAAAGTTCACAGTCATTCCAGTACTGGACTTATGGTTTTTCTTAAAATCACTCAGAACTGCTATTTCTTCATTTTTCTTCTACTCCAGCCACCTTTTAAGTATTTATTCCACCATCACCAGCTAGAAGTCATTCTCCAAAGAGATATAAAAACTAAATATTACTGGATACTGCTTGTTTTACTCTATTATCTTAAAATTACACAGTTTGTCCCACATAACAAGGCTGGCATTCCCTGGCCTTCTTTATTCCTCCATTTCTGTGGTTTCTACTTTGATACATCCATTCTATCAGCTGCTACTTTTAGTAAACACAAATTACTAAAAGATTCCCAAACACTGACATACCACTGTGGAATTACACAGCACTCATCACTATACTTTGCACTATTAGAACCAACAAATGACATGGAATATTCCCGTCACCTGCCTCTACAATCTGAGCACAGCAGTTCCCCCTTATCCAGGGTTTCACTTTCTGTGGTTTTAGTTGTTACTGGTCAATCTCCATCCAAAAATATTCCATGGAAAGTTCCAGAAATAAACAATTCATAATTTAAGTATGTTGCTGAAATTGTTCTATTTTATCATTAGTGATTGTTCATCTCTTTTTGTACCTAATTTATAAATTTATCACGGTTCAGTATGACTCCCAATTTCAGGCATCCACTAGGGGGCCTTGGGACAGCACTCCCATGAACAGTGTATCCCAAATAACGCCTGGTGAGAAGCCCAAAAAGGCATCTGGGCCTGGAAAGAGCAGAAAAAGTGCCAGAATAACAGATGAAAAGTGAGATTCCTATCTTCAGAGAGGTTTCTGGAAACCTCAGGAGACCAAAGAGGTTGAAATCAATGAATGCAAATTACTGTGTTTGAAAGGTAACTTGGATCTTTACATCGTGGTGGGGGTCAGACTGCAGCAGGCAGAATTGGTAGAATTAAGCGWCCTGCTGACCAATACTTAAATAGTTTCGTTCAAAGATAAGTGTGAAGCCTTTCTACCACTTGGTGTTAATTGAAGAATATCAACATCTTTATCCCTTGCTCAATGATTTAGAAACACATATACAACACAAATAAAGAAATCCATAAATCAACCACACTAAGTTCTTTTGGTTTTTCAATCAGGTATTTGATTCCGACAGGGACAAAACTTTTCCCCACTRCGTGGAGACCCTACCCCTCTCCGACCCCAGCTAGGCACTCACGAGTTGGCATGGATGAAATCCAGATGGAGTTGGGCCCGACGCAACGTAGCATACTTGTGGCTCATGTCCTCGAACGCGACCTGCGCAGCCCGAGGGACAGCGACGCCTGACCGCAGCTGTTCGCCAAGTCCTTGCCCACGCCCACGCCCACGCGCGGATCAGCGGGTGGGCAAACACCAGCGCCCCCYGTGGCCGCGGCGCAAAGCTCACCCTGCGCAGTGGATTCAGGTATCTGGCCAGGTTCTTAGTTTCTTGGTCTTGAGTCCTTTGTTTGGAAAATAAGGCATCAGAGTTAGGTCCCTTCTCAGGAATTGAGATTTTTATAACCTTCCTAGACAGTTGTTCTTCTTGCTGTCCCTTTCAGTCATTCTCTGGTTGGAAATTGTGGGATTAAAATTTGATCAGAAATTACACACACACACACACACACACACACACACGAACGTAGAGAATCTGCTTTGTGTTGCAGAAAACTAAAATTTTGTGAGCTCCTGTTGGATAAATAGGCAGTTTCTCTTTGCTTGTGCAGTTGGCTTACCCTACTGTGCCTTTTGAGTTTAATCATGCTTCTGCCATTTGGAAGAAAGAAAAGGAAAAAAAGAGATAAACCCGAAAGAAAAGCTGAAGACAATGAGAACAGAATTTGAACTTAGCTGCAATGTGGAGGCTTGTCTGTCCCTCTATGAGAACAGCTGTTCCCATCTGCATGGGTCACTAAATCTTCACCTGTTGGTTGACATTCAACTATTTGATGCGTTGACTTGGCTCAAGGACTAGACATTCAGTAATGTTCCAAAAGACATAACTGGACAGGTGCAAGGTGGAGAGAGGCCTCTTTCCACCTTGTAGCTATCCACATTTTTTTAAAACTCTACTCTGAGTCACCAAAATCCAAGCTGAAATAGAATTTGTCAAAGATGCTAAATGGAAAGATCCTATTTGGGATGGGAAAATAGTTGACCTAGCCAACCTCTAAAAAGAGGTCAAACTCTGATTCAATGTCTATAACTATTTGATTGAGGATTGAACCGGGCCGCACGCATGCCAGGCAAGCAYGCTACCGCTTGAGCCACATCCCCAGCCCCACAGGATAGTCTTAAAGTCAGAAAGAAGCATCTATTTTACAGGGAACTTGAACTAGATGTGTTTGTGATTTCGGGCTTCATACAGGCAAGAAAGCTCTCAGAAAAGAAAAAAAATGTTAAATTTGGAGGAGTCATTCTACTTCAAAAGAGAGAAATTTATCAGCTACTACATTTATAGGAATCAGGAGAGGAAGAGAGAATTTGAATGGCAACCCAAAGGAACATGATGTTCTACTTTAATTTGAAGACTGGAAGTAAACATAAACATTTCAAGTAATTTTCCTGATTGCATTTTTGTTTTTAACAGTGGCTGCTATGGTGGTGTTTTGATAGCAAAATTCTCATTACTAAGCAACTTAAGCTATCTTTCCAATTTTTTTTCCATGGAACTTCACAAATATGATATTTTATTTTCATTTTATGGGCAAGAAAAGCTTGACAAGCCTCTTCTGGATTTATTTTATAACCCCAGTTTCCAGCTGCTATCTCAAAGCAATTTGCTTCTGGGAGGGCACCAGAGCCACCAGCCTGTAATTAGTAGAGGTTGTAATATCTAATTTCTACCAAAGGGAAGGATGTGATTATACCAGAAGCACTCCTTCTAATAATCTGAACAGAGCCTTCCTACCGCATGTGGCCAGCCCCAAAGCACTAGGCAGTATGGGTTGGCCTGGTTGACAGACACTGAGGAGAATCCACTAGATTATGCTTAAAAAAGAGGCMGGAGAGTCACTGCACAAATCCACCAAAAGCCTTTTCCCCTTCCCTATTTCAGCTCTGTTCAGCCACTCTCCCATCAAAAAAGACAAACTCACTCCTCTTCAAGATGTGCTTTTGGGATTTCTTGTTTGACTCACCTCCCTCAAGATTCATTTCAACATTATTTCATGACAAAAATACTACATTAATGACAGGGAGGGAAAATTAAAATGAGAATGCCCTTTGATCATCATATGGTTGATCCTGATTCTAAGGAGAGTCAATTTGGGATAAGAGACTCTTCAGTTCTTCCTAACTAAACATTTCAGATTTGCAACACACACACATTCTAGTCATAAATAATGGCTTAAACTTTTCAAACCACGCTTTCCCTTTTATTGACATAAGTATGAACCAACATTTCATTACTCTTCATATTTAAATTGAGATAAAGTTTATAAATATGAAAATTTAGTGTTTGAATCTACCAACTATCTGCACTGGTATGCCATATACCTAGCACTAGAATTAAATAATAATCTTAGCATATTGTAATAAACACAGAAAGTGAATGCTATTAAATTGTTGATGTTTGAAAGAGACCAGTGATGCTCAATTGAGAAGAGTAAAATGTCTCTGAAAGCAACATATGACCTTCCTGCTCATTTTATTGCATTCATGCAAGACTGAGTGTGGGTAATGTGTTTTCCTCTCTTCTAATTTATTCCATGTACCACAATGGTGAGGTTTTCATTACACCCAGGTATGCGGCAGAGTGATAAGTACCTCTGGAGACTTGGAAAATATGAGGCCTAGAGCTTTCCAAAAGAATGCCACAAGTACTGCGTGATTTTGAAAATATGGTTGCCTTCCAGTCAGATAATCCAACAGTCATTCCCAACTCTTTTCTCTCCTTCACAAAGGAAAACTTGCTGAAAACTTATATTCCTGGACTTTTGTAGTAAGGGATGGCCACTAGGATATCATAAATGAAATAGAAGCAAAAGTCATTTACTAAGTGGCTTGTAGGAAGGCCTTTGCTCTCCTGATAAAGGCACACACAGGGCTGGCTCCAAGTMCCTTCTTTCTATCTTGAAAACAAGCACAATACCTGGATCTTTGGTTGTCATTTGCATCCATGAGGGAAAAGTCAAGAGAGTCATATGAAGGCATCCCAAACCTTTCTGAATTACTAACCCAAAGTTCCAGGTTTTTCGTAATGAAACAATATTTAAAATTAATCCTTATTTAAGTCATTAGAATTGTATTTTCCTGTACCTACAGCCCAAACTATTTCTGAGAGAGGCAAACCATCATTCCCCCCMAAAAAAACATAGTTTCTTTCCATCAATTCTGACATCAGCAGAGGAGTATTTATTATGGAGTGTGATGTTTAGGTATTCTCTTTCCCATACTGGTGAATGTGTGGTGGCAGAGAGGAAGGAAGATATTGTAGACAGGAGCAGCCTTCAGAACAAGAAGGTAGAGAACGATACATAACATAGTTGCACAAAGTGTAACAACTAGAATCATTAGACTGAATTACAGGAGAGCCTGAGACCAGGTTGGCCAGGAAAGAATAAGAGTGTTAGAAAAGGGATTTGTGTCTCAGGGTGAATTTCAYGTTTAGTGTGATACATAATTTACAGTCATTATTGGCTCATTCAGTGAATCAGTCATTTATTTGAAGAAAGTCCACTGTGTCCATAAGAATTTAAAAATAGAAACACCTTGTTCTTACTTTCAAAGCAGTTATAGTTTAATAGAAACAAATCATATCAGGATTCAGTGTAGGAAAAAAAAAAACATTGTAGGTATGTAAGGTGCAAAGAGATAAAATACAGGGAAGCACAAAACCTCTGGGAGGGAATAAGCGCCCAAATGAGGGACCCACCACTGGACAGTTGAACTCAGACTCCCATCAGGAAGCAGCAGAGTAGAAGGCAGCAGTCTGCTGATTCCACTGCTGGAGCTTCTTCACTTCCTGGGGAGGAAACTTATTGGTGATGGACAGCAAAATTTGGCCATTGCCTTTCAACACTCGTTTCTGTGTCCTGCATGTGGGCAGCAAAGCACCAAAAAAGAAAGAGAAGGAGAGATAGCACTGAAGTAAAGGAAAAGGGGAAAATGCATCCAATGTCTTCTCACAGAAGTTGGTACAACCATAATTGATAGGATTTAGATGCTACTAAGGCATCCAAATGCAGTTTCTAGCTTTTCAATCTCTCTAATCAGATCAGAGAGAAAGTGCAAGGAGACTAAGGGARGCAATACGCAATTTCTTCCACACTGATGGGCTTTTTTAAGACATCAATTAGTGCATTACGGTGTTATAGGTCCTTTGAGAGAAGTCGGGCTTCAAGCAGAGAGGTGCTTTATAGTTGTAATGAAATTGGAACCATGCCTTGAAAGATGAATTTACACTAGTTAGGTAAATAGAATTGGGATTGCCATTTTAGGTAGAGGGCTCAGTTGAAAACAAGGAAAAACATGAGTCTGCCTGGGAATTCAGTAAGTAGCTAAATCATGTCTGGAGCATGGGGTACAGAGTAGGGTAGGAACAGAGGGGTGCAAGTTTAGAGAGGTCTAGAAAGGAAGTGGAAGTCAGATCATGGGACAGGGGAGTCTGACTATCAGTCAAGCAAGCATTCTGAAATGGGGATTGTTACAATTTGGTTCTGGAATTCCCCCCAAAAAAATATCATGCATTAAAGTCTTGGCTCCCAGAGTAGCAATATTCAGAGGTGGAGCTCTTGGGAAGTGATTAGATCATAAGAGCTCTGACCTCATACATGGATTAATCCATGGATAGCAGAATGGACTATTGGGAAGCCATAGAAAGTGTAGGTAGGTGGGACAGGGTGGGAGGAATTAAGTTGCTGTGGGGGGGCAGGTGCCTTGGAAGGGTATTCCTTGTTTCTGGACTCTCTCCTGTCTTCTTCCTGGCTATCATGAGCTGAGCAACTTTCTTCCACCACACCCTTCCGACATGACATTCTGCCTCACTCACTTCAGGCCCAAAGCTGACCATTGCCTGAAGTACCTGAAACCATGAGCCAAAATAGATCTTTCTTCCTTTAAATTGTTTTGCKCAGGTGTTGGTAACAGCAACAAAAAGCTGACTAACAGAGGGATCAGCAGACAGTAGTAATTATATGGGCAGAATACAAATTCGGGTGGCTTGATACAGTTATTTTGGGGTCTGAGGAAAGCAGAAAAGAAAAAAGGGCAAAGGTGACTCTATGCTCTTAAGCTTTAAATCCTGGCATTGTAGGTGAGAATATTGGGCAAGTCACAAAAAAAAAATTATCAAACTGAGAATTAGAAGAGCATGAGTTCATTTTTGGCGTGGCAGGATTTAGCATTAAACAGCACAACCAAGTAGTAGAAAATTGTCAATTCAGTTAAAATAAATATATAGATTTTCTGTCTTCCATGGAAGTAGCTAACAATAGGCTTTCATTTTTCAATGAAATATAATTTTGAGCTATGGAAAGTGTTAGTAAAGTTATTGAGCCTTGTATGCCTCTGAAGTAAAAAGCTAAGACACTCACAGAAATCAAAGAATCCAGTTAAAGATACCAGGAGATAGATAGAAACAGAGGTAAATAGATGGAGAAATGCAAACTTTGTGGATATAAGTTAGYATTTTTCAAAATTGGCCAAAAATATGTAAAGAAAAATTTCTTCACAGAACCCCCAGTTAGATACTGATGTCCAATGCTGAACTGAGATGGTATGTCTTGACTTCCAAGAATTATGCTCCATCTTCCATCTGAAAAGACAATACAGGGGTTTTGATAATTGTATTTCCCAGGATTTGTCCATGGGAAATGAAGGGAAAATAATGTGTCCAAATCTCAATCAAATTTACTTCTTCTTTTCAGCRTAACCCTTTTAAGAACCATTGCAAATAGCCAACTGTGAAGCATTACTAGAATGCAAATTGATAAAACAAGACACATTGAACTTTGGGGCACTACGTAATAAAAGTTGCTTTAAAAAGTTCAAAGGTGGGAAAAAACCCTCACGCATGTAAGCAAGATCTGCATGTTGACCTTTGAGCTCAGCACTTATGGACACGGAATGAATCACTGGTAATTCCAAGAGGAAAGATAAGCACATTTTTCCTGCTGTAGCAAAAAGAAATATCTCTTTAAATTTCTTTCCTAACTCAAATTGCAGAACTTTTAAATGAATCAAATTGTCCTGTATGTTCTTCAAAGGATACTTTTCTGTCTGGGAAAATTATTTACCCATAATTATATTATCTTAACCTCATATCATACCACAACAACATCTAGAAAAATGCCTGGTTTATTGTAGACATTCAAATAAACTATTGTTTTAATAAAATTGCTCACTGGTTGTTTCTTACTATTGTCACATCACTCCCATGTCCAATTGCCAGAACTCTGTCACTGGAGATAAGCTCAAAGCCTGTTCTAACAAAAGAACTGCAGAGCAGGCTTGGTGTTTGTGTGTAACCAAAGCTACATAACACTTTTTGGGAATAGCTTTTTGTTCGATGTATTATATTGTTGAGTTTTAATTACCTCTGTGCCACCATAATTATCATATGACAATAAAGTAAAAAAAAAAAAAATACAACATATAAAGGAAAGGAGCCTGTGACGTGATGTCAGGGACCACCTACCTTCTTCGGCCCAACACTCCATCTTTTTATTTGTAGCCTGAAATTTCTTCAATGAGGCATGAAGCCTTTCATTTCACTTSGGAGAAAAATGATAGGTTGTGACAGAGAATTGCTGAGCGTGGACTGAATGTGGCAGTAAGTAGTTTTTGAAGTTCCGAGTCAGAAGCTGATGTTACCCTGCTCTTCTGACTCAGAGGCTTGGCTGGACTTTCCTAGCTTGGATGGGATCCAGGGCCCTGTGGAGAAGGGGACATATATAATAATAATTTTAAAAAAATCTCTTTGAATTCCAGAGGTAATATTATTATAGTATTATCAATTATACTCCTAATATTATCAATTTCCCACTGGCAGAATTTCCCCTAGAAAGGTGTATGCCATGATTTCTCCAAGTTCAAGGTACTTGGATAGCTTTATTAAATTTTGCCCCACATTATTTTACCAACTTAGGAATTCAAAACTTTCTTCATGACAGAGAGATGCATGATAGAATAACATAGAGCCGATCATATGATTATCCCTCTTTTCTCTTTCTCCTTTTCCTGGTGCACAAACATATCCCAACCTCCATGAGGGACTTATCTTTGTGCCAGTATCTCATTCAGAACGCACAATATCTTTAATTTTCTTAGACTGAGTCCCAGTGTTGCTTGTTCTTTCTGGGTTTATAATTTCTTTTCCTTTTTCTCATTCTCCCTTGCAGAACTTCCCCTCCTCACTTGTCTACCCAAAGCTCACCTTTTGTAACACTATAATTTTCATCTTAAGTGACCCAAAGGATCATTAATCCTGAGCAGAAAATCTGATGGTAACTGTGGAGAATATGATACCCCTCTTATATAGAGGGCACGGGGCATTAAAAGGGCCTGGGGCATTGTAAGCATTATACCTCTATTAAAAGTTAAAGCTCTATAAAAATCCCTTCTAGGAATTCTCTGTATGGGGATAATAATTTCAAAAGCTTTGGACTACGCACCAAGTTTGATTGGGTAGTCTGAAGGATAATATTCTCAGGCTCACATGAGAAATATACTACAACTGATAATAAACAAAAGTGACTGTAATACTTCTTTTAAGGCTTATTATATAATCTGTTTTGGGGCTTATGAGAAATTTGTGAATTATGAGTAATCTCCTAAAAATGAAACCAACACTTGCCAAGTTTCCCAACTCAATATTGCCCATTTGTACCTGCCCTCACATATCATTTTTCCATGAAAAATTACCTATCAACTTATTGGTTAATCTCAGTGGGAATGGGAACAAAATTGTACATTAACCTCAATGTATTGAAAGTGGCAGGAATACAAATAATTTCACAAATTTGGAATTTCTATGAAGGAAATTGAATCAGGGTAGATGGAGAGGGAAGATTGTGGGAAAGGCTTCTTGTCTTTCTTAAATCTCTGTTCCATCCAAGAGAAAAAGGCAATCTCACAAAGTAAAAACAGCCATCAGTAAATAGACCCTCACTATGGCTCTTCCTTCCCTCTAATATTCTCTGTCAAACATCCCAATATTCCTAATTGTTATGGAAAACAAGAGTCAAGAGTAGGGAGAAACAAAAAATGCCTGCAATTTAATGCCTTCTCTATTCTACGTTCTGAACCAAAGTGTCCCCTCAAAATTCAAATGTAGAATCCCAACCTTCAATAATTCAGAATGAGTCTGGTATTTGGAGAAAGTGCCTTTGATGAAGGAATTATTTTACAATGAGATGGTTAGGGTGAGCCCTAATTCAATATCACTGGTGTCCTTATAAAAAGAGAAGATTAGGTCACATTCACCAGAGACACACACAACACAAAGAAGCAGCCATGTGCAGACGCAGCATGAGAATGGCCAAACRGAGCTAAAAAGAGAGACCTCAGAGGAAACCAAACTTATGAACACTTCTTGAACTTTGAACCCACAGAACTGTGAGAAATAAATTTCTATTATGCAACCACCCAGTCAGTCTGTGGCATTTGGTTATGGCAGTCCTAACAAAMTAACACAACTACCCTACAACAATCAGTGAGAAGTGATTGCTTCCATTCACAGCCAGCTGCTATGCATCTTTCATTTTCTCCTTTTAACTTCTTCAACCTTCTCATCCAGAACTCAGAAAGAATACTGTTTACCCTCCCCACTCCCTATCCACTTCTTATTATGGCATTCAGTTTTCATGGCCCTCTCCCATATCTCCTGCTCTATCTTAAGTCTCCCATCTTTCTCTCAAGGATCCAGGAATTTCAAGCAATGCTTTAAACCGTTAAACACTAAGCCTTTCCCTGAAGAATCCCACTGTTGTTTTTACATGCACAAGGCTGAAACAGACACTCTTAGATTTTGAGTTTGAGAAAGCGACACTGGTGAAGGCTCAACTACAGGTTATAGCAGAAGACGATCATTAAATGACAAGAGCCTTTATTTCAAACCAATACGACATTACCAAGTTTATCTTCTGAGATTACCAGAGCCATAGGAACAGATTGCCTTCCCATGGAACTAATACTAACGCCCACAGAGCTACCTGTGGAGAAAAATCTGGTCCCATTCACTTCTACAGTGAATCTCCTGAAATGCTTTCTTTGCTTTTAGTTTTGCCAAGCATGGAAGACTTAGCAAATGACAGACTGCATCTTGACAGTGAGCCAATTGGGCAGGGCCCCTTGATAGTTCTGTGCTCTGTAAACTAACTAGCACATTGCTGATGCTCAATAAATGTCGCATATTGTCAACTATCAATTATTCAGTGTGTAATGAGGATAATGCCTTGGCAAAAGCTGCCTCAAAGCTTAATCAAGAAGCTGTGCGATTCCGGTGCCACATCAGAAAACAGATTGGCATTTTTACTTAAACTGCTAAACAGTATACATTTGTATTAATGACACATCTTTAAATTAGTACAATTTGTTTATAGTGACAATCAATAGAAATCACTAAAATGATTGAACATCAATAACACCAAGAATGTTTAATGTGCACAGGTAGACTATTCACAAACGCCACTGAGACAGTCCCAAACAACGCCTGATTGATGTATTGACCTTTACCTGTGCTTTCCTGTCCTGGAATTTTTATGAGAAACTCCAATTCACCTCAATGGGAAACTTCCTTGAAATTATTTTCTCCTACACTAGAAACCATTTTATTATCTCTTCGTGACCCTATTTCTTGAAACAATGCACATGAAATGTGTTCAGAATAAATGGATTTTGAAAAGTATCTGAAACATAGGAAGTGCCCAATAAGTAGTTGCTGAATGAATGAATAGCAACTGCAGAATAAGACCACGAATTCCTCRTTGCATTTTTATGCTCCTCTGTGTTGTATGTGCAAATTAGCAAATGGATGAGAGTGAGGGAGGATAAGGGGACCTTGGATAATATGGGTGACTTACTTCTTAAGATGACAATCAGTCCCCATATAATAGGAAACCCACTCTTCCTGAAATCAGGTTGGACCAGTTCCATCTTTCAAAGACCCTGAGCTACCTACATCTGCTAAAATAGGAAGTCTATTATAAAATTCTTAAACTACATTTCCAAATTACATTAAACCTATGACATCTCAAAGCAAACCTAAGGCAACCATGCTAAAAATGAATACAAGTTTGGCCAGTTTGCTTGAATTCGTCTTGCTCCTACAGTTAATGCTTGGTGGATGTATGCTTCTGTATGCTGTTGACAGCAGCAATGAAGTCTCCATTAACCGTGGTAAGAGGGAAAATAGTGGTCTTGAGTGGAGGGGAAAGAGAGACTATGCCTGATATTTGTCCAAACAAGTCTTTGTTCTTTGTTTTACTTACAAATTGACCTAAAAAGAAACAACAGCAAAAAAGAACCCAAAATCTCTGTCTCCCACTTTCCAAGACAAAACCATATTCTACAAGGTAAATCAAAATTTCTGCATTATGCCAATTGGGTTAGAATCTGACATCTTGTACCTCTCTAAAGAGCTACTGTCTGCATGTAGCTTGAAACTTTATAGAAACCCTTATTTCTTCTTAGCAAGTGGTTGCTGAGTCATTCTCTGCCTAAAAAATCAGCTGGTAAGTCCAGGTGGAATGGGATATTCCTTCAGTTGAAGGATACTCAGAATAAAAATCAGAGCAAACCTGTACTTGCAGTCAAATTGGTTTTAAAATGACCACTTTACTAGTGCTAGAGTAAAATGTTCTCATGGAGTAGCTTTTTGAGAATGTCACATAATTACATAAGAATAAGTGCTATCACCAGCTCATTTCCAAGAGATTGAATGCAGTTGAAAGTTCAGTGCAACATTTAATAAGGACTAATAGTTCTCCTCCCACAAGGCACTGGCTGACCCTCCACCTCTTACAGATGCTGACGCCGGTTGTGTCATGCCAGTCTGTACCATGCCCTCCATCACTTGTTATCAGACTTTTATAAATGAGTGCTTCATTCTCCAAAGCTTTGCAGCTTGTTGATTCTGCTTGTATTAGTGACATGACTTTAAGCAGGAAAAAAAAAATTGTCTTATTCCTTGTGAATAAACTTTTCTTTCCTTTATTTTTCTTCTCTAAAAAAAAATCTTTTAACATTATTGGATGTGATTTCACATATTTTTCTTCTAACATTTATATTTCATTGATATGGAAGAGACTATGAGAGCTTATCAAGGTCTATCATAGCATATTAATGATTTTTAAGTACAAAGCATCAAAGTTGTAAACAGTTCCCATTGATGAGCTTCATTAATTCATCCACTTGATCTTTCTGCTTTTTAAAGATAGATGTTCCAATTTTATTTCAAAGAGCATTTCTATTTCTTTATAATCAAGGTTGCCAATTTTCATGGATTCCAAACTTTTTCTTTCACAGATAATAAAAAGAGGCAATCTCTGGGGAAAATTGCTTAAAGTCCAAACCTCAACATAAAAACAAACCTGATACTTTATACTCATTTTCTATAGCCAGCTGGATAAGGCTATGAAATGACAGACCAGTGCAGGAAAATATTGTCTCATTTTAATGCAGTTTAGTTTAATTTGAACAAGTTGATTCAATTGTGTTCTATAATGCTTATATATGACAGCCATTGTACTAGGCACTGAAGACAAACAAATAGGAGTAAGATGCAATACCAGCCCTCAGGAAGCTTGCAATCTACTCAATAATATTGAAATTTACATATGTCACTATGATGCCGAGAAATGTGGCCTAATTACTACAGGATGCAGATATGAGAAAGAGCAATCCAGTCTGACTGGGGGTCAAGGAAGGCTTCATTCATCAGGAAGGACATTTTCTGGCCTAAAAAGGATTATATATTATATCTATACCTCCCCTACAAAGCTGAGTTGCTCAGGCCACATCCAACTGTGGGCCTCTTTTGAGGTCACATTCACCTAATTGATCTAATTGCATGGCTTATGCCCCTATGCATAAGTAGCCCTTCTACTTCTGTTGCAAAGTTTCACCCTATTATTTCTGAACACTCCTTAGATGAGTTAGGAAATCTCTGACCTAAATTTACTCATCTATAAAACAATGCTAATATCTTCTGTATAGAATGGCTGTGAGGAGTAAATGAGTTTAAATGATAATGTGTTTAAATGATAATGTGTTTAAAATTCATAGAATAGCTATTATCATTTTCTGTTTACATTATATATCCCATCCATTTTGCAAAAGAAGTAAGATAAAAGATATGGAAGCAACCCTGCCCCATTGGTCCTCCAGAAAATGTTCATTTGAAGTCCACAAGTTGAAGAATGATGGAAGTAGAGGAAAGAAAAAAATTATCTTTTGGTTTTATGACCTTAAAGGTTTTTATTTATTTATTTTTTAATTTCCCCATGATTTTTCTGTGATTCTTCTAGTACATCACATAACTAAAATGTTTACATTTCTACAAAGTAAAACAAAGAGGGCTTACAGAATTGTGGCAATGGCAGTTATGCCTCCAGAATTTTGTACAAATGAACACACGGGATAGGCTTTCTGGATTTTGCTGGGCTTGTTTTCAGTGTCTTTCTTCCCAAGCCTTTCATCCATCAGTAAATGCAGGCAGAAATCCCAGCTGGTTAGATCTAGGTTTCCACACACCCTTTCTAATTAAAAGGTAGGCATCAAAAAAGTTATTCACTAAAACTTTATTATATTTTTATAGCTACTCATTACAGATTGCATAATCTTAATAAGATGGATAATGGATGTACAATTTGCCTATGATCACATATTAAGAGTAAACTTTATTAGATGGTAAACTTATTTGGTTAACTGCTCATCATGTCACTGAGACAGCTATTATTTGAAAAATGGAAGTAGTGTTCTAGTTTTATTTATTATGTGCATTTGTTGGAAACAAACAAATTTGACAATGCAGTTAAATGTTCCTTGTTTTTAAGTAAACTTTTTATTTTGAGATATGTAGATTTGCACACATTTGTAAAAACTAATACAGAGCCAGGCACAGTGGTGCACGCCTGTAATCCTAGCAGCTGGGGAGGCTGAGGCAGGAGAATTGCAAGTTCAAAGCCAGCCAGTAAGGCACTAAGCAACTCAATGAGACCCCGTCTCTAAATAAAATACAAAATAGGCCTGGGATGTAGCTCAATGGTTAAATGACCCTGGGTTCAATTGCCAGTTTAAAACAAAACAAAACAAAAACCCCTAATACATAGAGATTATATGTGTCTTTTCTGAACCTTCCACATTGACTGCATTTTGCAAAACTAGAGCACTATATCACAACCAGGATATCAATTATATCAACATTGATATAATTTATTGGTCTTACTCAGTTTACTTCAGCTCCACATGTACTCATTTGTGTATGTACAYGTGTGTGTGTATGATGTGTGCATTTAGTTCTATGTAATTTCACCACATGTTTGTATTCATATATGCACCACCACAGTCCACATGCAGAACAGTTCCCTCACCACAGGATCTCTCATAATTCCCTTTTATTAACTATACCCATCTACCTTTTCCCCTCATCCCTATTCCCTGGCAACTGCTAATCCAGTCTTCATTTCCATAGTTGTGTTGTTTTCAAGAAGATTAATACAAATGGAACCTCAGGTGTATACAACTATTTAGGTTTGCCTTTTTCACTCATGTAATTCCCTTGTGGTTTTTTTCCAAGTTGTCCTATTCATAAATAATAGTTATTATTTTTATTGTTGATAGTAATTTATAATATAGATATACCACAAATTTATCATTTAGTGTTGAATGACATCTTCAGTTTTTGTTTGTTACTAATAAAATTGTTGTGCATATAAGTTTTCATTTCCCTGAGATAAAGCCCAGTGGGTCAATTGTTGGGCTGGAAAGTGATTACATATTTCAATTTTTAAGAAATTGCTGAACTATTGTCCAAAGTGTCTGTACTATTTTAAATATCCACCAGCAATGTATGAGTGATCTGGTTTTTCCATCTTTAAAAAAAAATATGTGGGTGGTAACATTAGTAAATAAGTAAATGACACGTATAAGAGTAGTCTATAAAAAGTCAGTTCAAAAAGTCCAAAGGGTAAAAAAGGTGGAGGTATATAAAACAGCCAGCTCAAGAAAAGGTCTTTCTCTGACTTGTTTCAGTTTTCAGGGCCTCCAGGTACAGAGCAAATGCTTTATGCTTTTAGATAGTACCCAATATGCCTCAAACTTTCATCTGGGTTAAATTAAAATAAAAAATCTTTTCTTTCCAAAACAGGATCATGGCCTATAAAATGCTCCAAGTAGTCCTGTGTTCTACATTGCTTATAGGTAAGAAGTCCATTTCCTTTTCATTTATTGTATCTTTTACAACTATTGGGTTGATACTTGTCTTAACTTTTAAAAGAAATAAACCTGTTTTATGCGTGGACACATTCTAAAGCATTGAGGGGATCAAACAATTGTGTTATGCTGTGGCTTTGAAGAGGTTAATGTCAATCGTGAAAGTGAGATCATTTAATTCCTAATTATGTATTAACATATTAACACGTTACTCTTGCTAAGAAGTCAATTTAATTGCTGCCTCCAAAGAAGTGCTCTGGTGTCCCTGAACAAAGAAAAATTTAAAATATCTTTTAGAAACAGTGATACAGAATACCATTATAAGGAGACCTCAAAGTACTTTGGGAGCATGAATTCATTAACCTTCTCTGAGCTACAGCACAGGGAAGTGGCGTTTTAGAGGCAGATCAAGGAAGGCACCAGAGACCAGCTGATTTGCTGCCAAATTGACCTGGTAATTCTGTGGTTGGTATTAGAGTTGAACTGAGCGGTCATTTGTTTTCTTTGTAACAGACTGAAAATACTTACAAAGGCATAAATTAACTTTCAGTTAAACCTATACAGTTTATAAATATTTCTGATAAAGATGCTTAAATCAGAATAAATTTCTGCTTCTATGATAAGCTTGAGACCTATGCAAAAAATTAGATCTTGCTTGATGCACGCCTCACACAGATAGCAACAGCTGTGCGTGTGTGTGTGTGTGTGTGTGTGTGTGTGTGATTAGTCTTAATTCCTAAGCACAGAAATAATTTTATTAAAGAATTTTAATCATCAACATTGCACTTTGCATTTGAGTCAGGTTTAAATATTGCACATGATTTAGAAAATTTTAATTAAGTTATAACTAAGCAGTTAAACCAAGGCATATGCAATGATAGATTCAGCCCACATTTCTAGATGAGAAAAGTGAGGCTGGCTCAGTTTTAGCGAGTGTTTGAGAGCACACTGGAAGTTAGTCATGG